CTGTGCTGAGCAGCGAGGAATAAGCTGGTGTGAAGGAGGAGAGCTGCGGGCGTCTGAAGCCGTCCCGGCCTGGGGTTTTGCTTTTTTATGCCAACTTGACTGTACTGACAAGCAGGCGTGCGAGCGCAGGAGCGGTCATCAGCTGGCTCCTGCCCTGCCCTCCGGGAAGGCAAGTGGGTGCAGACACCCCGAGAGCCTCTCCGGGGAGCCGAGGGAGCCCCGGGGCCGTCCTGCAGGGATTCTGGGTGCAGAGGTAAAGCAGAAAACACAGGTCTGCCCTCGCAAGCAGCAGCCCTGGCTTCCCGCTCCTGCCCAGCCCCTCGCTACGTGGCCCGGCAGCGACGCATGGTGTAAAGACTGCGGGAAGGCTCCTGCCCGCCGCCCGCCGTCGCCCGTCCCTCGGCATGCGGATCCGCAGCCCGGCGGTGCCCCTCAGCACCGCGCTTACAAGTGGGGGATCGCTGCGAGCCAAGACCGAGGGGAAGAAAGGGCCTAATTAAGTTGCAAATGGAGGAGCTCTTTTTTTTTTTTTTAATGAGTCACTAAGCCATATGGCTGATGCAAGCTATCCCGCAAAAGTGCCGCGACGACAATTCGGGCACTGCCGTATCCTCGTTGTCCTGGGACACGGCGTCACACTGTAATTGCGTTGGTCTTTTGTCCTCCCTGGCGACGGGTGACATTGCTCAGCAGAGGAGAACCTGCTTGAAAGGCTACACCTCGCCAGGGACAGATATTTAATTAACACCGCTACGTCAGGTCCCTCCCGCCACCCTCAAGAACAGGCTCCTCCATCCCCGGCACAACGGGGCACGCAGGGAGAAAAGCCCTCGAAAGCCGAAATACTGAGTTTGCTCTGTTCCTTCTGCTCCATCACATCACATCACAGTTTTATATAGAGAAATTAGACGGGATGCTATCCTGGATTTGAAGCCAGGCCGATGCTCAGATAAGCTCTCAGCCTCCTCCCAAGCTCAGCAGAGTCTGCTCCCGCAGCACAGCCCTGTTTCTCGCAGTGAGGGAAACCCAGAGCCCCTGAGCAGCAGCTCTGGTCGCTGCCCCCTTCACCCACCAGCCACTTGCTGTGCCCAGACACCAAACTAGGTCACATTCTTCTCCCAAATCCCACCTCGCTTCTATTTCATTCTTTTTAAGTTTGTGTAATTAATTCACGCTCGACCCCATCGCCGTCCCATCCCAGTTGCTTTGCACTGCCCTGACGGTGGCAATTGCCAACCACAGAGGTTAAAAGCCCCAAGGATTTCCTAAGTGACAGTTTAAGCTCCAGGAGCCTGGGAATCCTCCCGAAAGGCCGTTCCCTGTCCCCACCGCCGCCTTACAGCCCCAGCATCTGGGACCCATCTCATCGGCCGGGGCTCTGCTGCCGTTTCCCCGTGCCCAGCCTGGCTCCATGGAGGTGCGAGGGGGCAGGGTCCTGGTCCCTCTGTCCCCCCGTCCCCGCGCAGATGGCACCTGGGGGTGGAGGCAGGGCTGTGCCCGGTGGAGGAGGTGCCGGTGCAGCCCGTGGTACCTCCGTCCTCCCCGGAGCTCCCCGGCTGCTGCAGAGGTCACACTCACGTGCGTTCAGCCGCTGCCTGGAAGGGTGGTGGCAAATTAAAAACCCACCATTTAACCAACTCCGTAACCGAGGCAAACAAAAAAATCAGCTTTGAGCCTGCATGTCACTGTAACCCATACAGCAGCGTGCCTTGCTCCATTTTCTGGAGACAATCTGCCTATTTTCTCCCCGTCCAAGCCCCGTTTTCCTGCGCCAAGGACAGCGGCGAGGCTCCATCGCCCGCGTGCTCACGTGCCCGGCTCGGCGCGCCTTCCCCAGGGAAGCGAGCGAGGGCAGGGATCGACAAGCTGTCAGGCAGAAGGAAGAAATACCACTTCCAGGAGTCAGAGCTCATTTCCCAGCAATAAAAGCAGACTGGAGCTAGGGGAAAGCATCACTCACAGGGACACACGTCCCACACCACTTCAGCCACTGATCAGAGAGGACCTGGGGGCTGCAGCTTGGTAAAATAAAAGCCACCAACGAATGCTTGGTTTAAGCAGTACAGCCCTAGACCGGCCTCAGATCAGCACAGAAAGGATCTGCCCTTCCCCACACCTATGACTGCTGTGGATGCTGCCCTCCACGTGCCAATCCCGTGTCCCCAGCTCCTGGCTACAGCTCCTCCAACAGACAGGAAAAGAAAACATGATTGTTTCCTGCCAGGAAGGGGAATTGCTCCGATCAGCATCCTCCCTTAATCTCCCCACTCTCCCCTCCATCCTCTTCAGCTCCGTTATTCCCACACCACCCACACACATTCCTCTGGGGCCCCAAGGAAGGGCCAGAGTATCCACTGCTCACAAATGCCACCTAAAAATGAAGAGCTGAAGCGTTTGTGCTTCCCAGAGATATCTGTGGGTAGATTTTATCTCCTTTTCCACCTATTCTTGGTGTGTTTTGGCGAGGAGGGTCCTTACCTGCAGGCCAGCAGCCTGCCTTCCCTCTGCTGTGCTCACACCACGGCTGCAGAGGATGCGAGAAAGACAAGTTATCTCCCCAAAACCAACCCGAGAAGATACAGGCAGAAGTGACAGCGATGGGGACATGCCAGAGCCCAGCCACGTACAACCGTGGCAAGAGGGGACAGTTCCTGCAAGGCAGTTAGTTTGGATTTTAAGACACTTGTTTGTTTGTTCGTCGCTAGGCAACCGAGAGGATGGAAAAAAAATATCAATGTCATATTGTCACCTATGAGTCACCACTCAGCACGGGCCGAGATGCCCCGTTCCTCCCGCCACCAAGCACGGGGCGGCTGGGAAAAAGCCCAAGTCACCCCAAAACCAGCTCACCCCAGTTCTTGTTGTCTGCCTGGTCTTGCCCCACTGCCTTCCTCATCCCCACAGCTGGGGACACCGGTGGCCCCAAGGACATCAGTGGCCCAGTGACAACTTTCCAGGCCCTGGAAGGCGGCACAGGAATTTGCATTTATATTTGCATTTCCTAATTGCGCCTGCGGGTTTCCTGGGGCAGCGCCTGGGCTTTGGTTTCCATGGCAGGTTTTGTGCGGACCCCAAGAACCGAGGGAGGCACAAAGGGGCCACAAAGGACCTGCCACTCACCCACATCAAAGGCGGCCAGCGCGGTGGGACGGGGGCTCCGTGGCCGGGGGCACCCTAGCCTGCCCCCCCCCACACCTCCCCAGCACCCCCAACACCGGGGCGGACGTGGGGAGCCCCCCTGGCAGGGGAAGGGGCTGGCTGGCAGCCGACGCTCGCGGGACACTGATGGTTTTGGCGCTGCCAGGGACGCGCCGCTGCCGGGGCTGCTTGACAGAGGAGCCGAGTCTCAACCGCCATCGTCCGGAGGCGGCAGCCACCCCGCGCCTGTCGGAAATGGTGCAAGAGCTGGACCCAGATGTTCCCCCCTGTGCTTGGTTCCCGCTATTTTCAGCGTTCCATGCAGCTGGGGTGGGTTTCTTTCCCCCGCCAAGTTCCCTATTCCATTTAGGGACTGTCTTGCTGGCGAGGGTCCCTGCCCCAGCTCGCCTCACGCACCGCTGAGCCCCTCCAGCTCCCCAGGGAACCGGCAGACCAGTCAAATCCAGGACCGCAGTCTGGGAAAACCGGTCTCCGAACTGTTGCAGCAAGCCCAGCGCCACCGAGCAGAGTTGGCTCTGGCCAATGTCTCTCCACCCCCCAACCACGGTGACGGAGACGCTGCCGCCCCGGCCACGCCACGAGAGAGCGAGCCGTTACCTCCTTGCACAGCTGCGAGGGGCTGCGTGTTACTACTTCAAGTATTTTTCTTATTTTTTAGCATATAATTATAGTCACCGTCATTAACCCCCGCTGCCCAAAAGCTTCCCAGTTCTGACCACGAGCACCCACCCTGCGCTTTCACCCTCACAGCACAGTCACAGGGCACAATGCCCCTCCAGCTCCTCTCCCAGCCGTCCCTTCCGAACACCAGCATCCGCAGCGTCCCCCATTATCTTCACCCCCACAGAGAGTGTTTGTGCAGGCAGATAAACACCGAGCGCTCGCTATCGCGCTGGGGAGCCCAGCTCGCTCCCCGCACGCTCTTATCAGTGCGGAGCAGAGGGGAACTACAGTGCCCACACTGCCACAACGGCAAAGCCCGCTCAGCCACGGCGTGGATCCGGTCAGGGGACAAGGTAAAGTGCCATTGGGCAGGTTAGATGCTGTTTTGTTTGGCTTTTTTTAATTTGAAAGCTCTTTTTTAATAAAATGTTAAGAAAGTCCAAACTTCCCTGGGAACTTTGTGGCTGGGAAGAGGACGGGCGCCTTTGACCTGTCTTTGAAGGAAATGTTTTTGGCAACCAGAGGATCTGGCACCGGGAAGGGGCTGTGGGCACGCGGGGATGGGCGGGTAAAGTTCTGCCAGCATCAGGCACATCCTCACCGCAGCAGAGACGGGCACTGCCGGGGAGGTCAGACTGCTCGGCGGGGAAGGCTACAAGAGCGGGGTGATGAGAACGGCACGGCGAGCTGGCGACGAGCTGGGTCTCCTCTGCAGCAAGGACCGCCGAAAGCTTTCCTCCAGCCCCCATGCCGGCCCATCTCCCCTCCCAGAGGGGCACGGCTGCCCCGGGGGTCTCACTGCCGTGGTGCCGGGCTCCAGCATGGGAAAAAACTTTGTGAAAATCAAAGTAAAGCTTCGCAGCGGAGCAGATGCTGCTTCAGCCTGTGTTGTGGAGGAGGAGGAGGAGGAGGAGGAGGAGGAGGAGGCATGGCACATGGGATGAAGGCTGCTCAGGGCACGCGGAAAATGTGGAGCATTCACCCCCTCCGAGGGCAGGGAGAGGGGTCGGGGCTCAGCGCCAGCCGGGGACCACCAGGAAGGAGGGATGGAGCGGGACAAGGAGCCACTTTGTGCCTCCTCACCCCGGCTGGGGACAAGGAGAGTCCTGCACTGTGTGTGTG